CCAGAGTACATATTGTATTTATGCCCCATTGAGAAATACTTGACGTTCCTATTCCAGATTGCACTAAATGGCCAGCACTTTGCAGAATTCAACCATCGCACTAATCCAGCAACAATGACTTACTTAAACGTTGCCAGCCGAGCCAGGATATCAACCTTGCATGTGTATGGATTGAAGATCCTGTTGCTGCTGCTCCTCTTCCTCCAACATATTCACAAGTGCCTCCTGTTGGAGGTATGCCATACCCACAACACAATGCTTTTGGCCCTCCACCACCATACTCTGGAGGTCCAGGATATGCTCCAGTTTATCCTGATCAGTCTGTATACCAGCAGGCTGCTCCTCCAGGCCAGTATGGAGTAAGTATTAATACAGTATGTATATTTTTCATTAGATAAATTCAAATACAGTGGACCCCCGGCTTACGATATTATTTCATTCCAGAAGTATGTTCAGGTGCCAGTACTGACCGAATTTGTTCCCATAAGGAATATTGTGAAGTAGATTAGTCCATTTCAGACCCCCAAACATGCACGTACAAACGCACTTACATAATTGGTCGCATTGGGAGCTGATCGTAAAGCGGGGGTCCACTGTTTTATCAGTGCACATACTGCATGTACAATATTTGCTGCAAATTATGTTTGTAGTATTACTAATAATGTCAAGGGGATAAAAGCTGAAGATATAACAGTATAAATTAGTATGTGTGTATAATTCAGTAGTGCCTGTCACTGAATAGGAAAAATGCTCCTACGTAGTTCTACTTTGGAGAAAAATGCATTCTATGTTTGTCTTGTAAAATTGGAAGACTAGGTTTCATACCCCATTTTTAGAATTTTCAATATACAGTGGACCCCCGCTTAAAGATCACCTCCCAATGCGACCAATTATGTAAGTGTATTTATGTAAGTGCGTTTGTACGTGTATGTTTGGTGGTCTGAAATGGACTAATCTACTTCACAGTATTCCTTATGGGAACAAATTCGGTCAGTACTGGCACCTGAACATACTTCTGGAATGAAAAAATATCGTTAACTGGGGGTCCACTGTATAAGATATCAAGCACAAATAAAACTTTAAATATAGTGCAGTTCTGTATACATTCTACTAATAACTTGTAGTTTTGGTGTAAGACTCGTATTTTCATACGAAAACTTTCTGGACACTGTGGCTATATATTAACCCTTTACATAAATAACCCACATGCGAGAGAGAGTACCTTATGATAATGTTTCAGTCTGACTTGCACTGTTTACAAAGTCACACAAACAGAAAAGAGAGAGAGATGGAGCTAGTACTATATATAGGCCAGCAGGCAGGGACAGGACAAGGCTGAAACGTCGTAGTAAGCTCGTCTCTCCTATGTGAGAGTTATTTGTATATTGTTCCAGTCTGGGTATTGTGCCTTTTTGTTCATTATCCTATCGTTGTCAGAAACACCAAAAATGAAAGTGCTTACAGTATTATCCGAATTTAAAAAAAAAATCTGAAATGGTAGAGAATCTTTTTCAGAAGGTAATGAAACCCAAAATTCAGAATTTTATGGAAAACTTATGGAATTACACAGGCACAAAGTTAGCGGTCTGGGCACAATTTATGCATCGGTGATTTTGTCCACTTTGAGTCCTATTTTAAGCAAATTTCAATTAAATTCTTAGCTGTTTTGCTAGTATGCCTTGTGTTTTATCAGTTGAGCACAATAAACCTCCCACTGTCAGAACCTCCCTATAAATTGCACAGAAGTCAGTAATTTGGCAAATTTTGCATAAAATTAAAATTTCAGCTTAAAAAAAAAGTCTGAAATAAACACTGTAGACATTCCAGGTGGCCTGGTGGTCTGGTGGCTAAAGCTCCCGCTTCACACACGGAGGGCCCGGGTTCGATTCCCGGCGGGTGGAAATTTCGACACGTTTCCTTACACCTATTGTCCTGTTCACCTAGCAGCAAATAGGTACCTGGGTGTTAGTCGACTGGTGTGGGTCGCATCCTGGGGGACAAGATTAAGGACCCAATGGAAATAAGTTAGACAGTCCTCGATGACGCACTGACTTTCTTGGGTTATCCTGGGTGGCTAACCCTCCGGGGTTAAAAATCCGAACGAAATCTCTCTCTCTCTTAAAACATTTCCTCTGTTAATTTATAATATCCTCAATCGTCTATATTACACTTGCCCTCCATTTTGAATTCATCACCCAAGAAATTGAAGGTTTACTCCATTTCTAGGATAAAACATGACCAAGAATGATTGCTCATGGTTTATGGTATCCCAGTAATTGAATCAGATTTAGTAAAAACCCATAAAACAGACTGGCGGTGTAGGGGGTTTTCCTCGGGAAAATTGCCAAAAATTTAATATTTCCGGTACTTGGAGCCTGATTTCTAGCTACTTCTGGTCCTTGAATCCACCATATTCATCTCTTTCGATAGTATGTCTTCCATCTTATCAAATGATACCAAGAAACAGCCAACAAAACCATGTACCTCAAATTTGCTGTTTTAAACCACACACAGGTTCAGAGATTTGCTTTTCCCTTTATGTATTGTGTGCGGCAGGATTTTTATACTGTGCACACTTACTGCACAGACCCATTTCTTTATATTTCAGGCCAAAATGTATCACTCGCCACTTATATGAGAGATCGAGTTACAAGTGACCCCCTGGCATTAATAATGTAGATTTACAAGACTGTGGAAGGCTTAATATAATCAGTCTACAGCACACAGTAATTCATCACATGTCAGTATTCTTAAATTGTTGCAGTTTATGCCCAGTAATTAGACACCTTAAAATCATAATTATACAAGTAAATACTGTAAATGTACAGTCAAACCCCAAATTTGTGTGCCTCAGTAATCCAATTTTTTTTACTAAATAGCCTCCCATGAATATTTTCATTCACATTTTTTTGTGGTGTCCATTATGTGTTGGCACAGTGCACAACCACTAAATTGAAAGCCGACCTCATTCTTTTTTTTTACAGTGTTACTGGTGGATTCATTAGGGTAGTGCTAAACTTGTAAGGGTCATAGGGTTTTCTTCAAAATGTGGTCACTAGATTTCCTGTGTCCAAACTCTTCTCCTGGACATTCCTATGAATATCAAATTAATTAGGTTAAAACAATATAAAAAAAAATAACTTCTTTGTTTCCCATGAAGATACATTGGTTGACAGTCCCCTTAGTAATGCAATGTATTTCTGCCAAATTGAGACAGTTAAAGGTATCTTAAAATTATATACCATTAACATTGATAAGCTCAAGTTTGTGAAATCGAGGTATTGATTGTGGTGCTTAAATTTTTCAGCAAGTACCACAACACAACAGTGGCAAAGGGTTATTGGGAAAGGTAGCTGGAGCAGGAACAGCTGTTGCTGGAGCCTTGGGTGTATCTCATCTCCTGGGAGTAAGTTCCCCGTTGGTTACAAAATTTATCCTGTTGTCTTGTAAGTCATCCATTAGTAACCTACTTTTAACTTAGTCATGGAGGGGCATGAAACTCATAGGGTTCATAGAGCATTTGGGGAATGGGAAGTACATGTAATCAGGTTCAGTCCAAGAAAATGAACTTCAGGTTAATTCTTGGATCAAGAGCCATGCATCAGTGAATCTTCCTTAAGGGGTCATTTTAATTTAAGATTTTAGTTTTGTATTATAAATGATTTTGTTTTACTACTGTACCAAATTATTAATATTATCAAAATTAAGTGCTAAACCCACCGGGGTCATACAGCACTTATTGTACACAAAAAACATGCTTATAGAAAATATTTTTTTAAAAGGTTGAATAATGAATAGGTTTTTCAGGTGCCAAGTTCAAAAACACCAAGAAGGTGTTTGCAGCTTTTAACAATTTGCATTCCAATTAATTGTACAGCACTAATAAATTTTAAAGAAATGCCCTCTTCTCTTCATCTCATTAACCCTTAAACTGTCCAAACGTAGATCTACGTTCACTCGCGTGGCGCTCCGAATATTTTGAAAAATAAAATTTTTTTTTTTTTTTTTTTTTTTAAAAATGAGGAGCACATTTTCTACAAGTTATAGAATTAAAAAAAATTAGGGTCAGTACTTACCGAGATAAAGACCGTGAAGTTGGCACTGGATGCTCACCTGTTGGCAACATCGACTCCTGCCGCTTGAAGTGTTGACGATATATATTTTTTATGTTTGATAATTACAATTTATAATAGTTCTTGTAATTTCATAGCCAATCTTTGTTCTGACACTAATATTAGGTACTGAAATAGTGCTCAAATAGTCACATTGTCTAGAAATATATCTTCTTTCTTTCTTTCAACGTACCAGCCATATCCCACTGAGGTGGGGTGGCCCAAAAGAAAAAACTCAAGTTTCTCTTTTTAAATTTAGTAATATATACAGGAGAAGAGGTTACTAGCCCCTTGCTCCCGGCATTTTAGTCGCCTCTTACAACACGCATGGCTTACGGAGGAAGAATTCTGTTCCACTTCCCCATGGAGGTAAGAGGAAAATAAACTATAAAGAAAAATAGAAGAAAACCCAGAGGGTGTGTGTGTGTATATATATGCTTGTACATGTAAATACAAAGTATTTGTAAGTCCCAGCAATGTTTTAGATACCCTGGCATATACTGTACCTTGAAGCATGGTGTTATGAAAGGCATCCCTATACTGTTGACAGCCTAGTGACATTCGATAAATGCCCACTGCTCCAGCTAACCCTCGCTGTACGTATTTGTCATCACTGATACACACAAACATGTTTCTGTCTATCTTTGCCTGGAATTTTTGGATTATATTAGGTAATTTACACTATGTATAATTGTACTTGTGTGTACAAGTGAGATAGATATATATAGATAGACAGAGAGGCAGCCAAAGCAAGCCAGCCGGCCAGCCTGCCGAATACATAAGAACGTAAGAAAGAAGGAACACTGCAGCAGGCCTACTTGCCCATGCAAGGCAGGGACATGTCACCCCCCTCCCACCTGCGCTTAGACAAATTACCCACCTAGTCAGGTCACATCCATTGAAGGAAGGAGCATGATATCAGACCTAGTAGCACAAGCTAGTCAGGTCCAACTCACACCCACCCACACTCATTCATGTATTTATCTAACCTATTTTTACTTTCCTCTTAAAATGTGAGTGTTAATCCGACATGGTATCAGTGAATCCCTGGTGTGTGCCACGCTATTTGCTCTAGCTGGCACTCATTTGAACTGGTGCTCCCAGATTTTTTAATAGTGCACACACTGAGTGCACAGACCCATTCTTTCATGTCTAGGTGACTTTAGCCTATTGTGCGAAATTTGAAGGAATGAAAATTAAAACGTTAATCTATGTTTGGAGCGCTACGTGTGCAAACGTAGATCTACGTTTGGATAGTCTAAGGGTTAAATAAAAACTGAACAAAAAGCAGGGCATGTGACACTCGTTTATCATCATTGATAAAATGTTTCTCCTGCACAGTAGGCATCATCACTTGAATAGAGAGGTAATCACAGTACTAGAGACAGAAGTAGGGAAGTAATTTGAGGTGATCAGTGTCCTCAAACTTGATATTGTCTTGTATCAAGGCTAAGAGACTGATCACAAGAAGTTACCTCTTCACTGCAACTGTCTCTAATATTGTAATCACCTCTGTATCTGATTGATCAAGTGTGCTGCACAGGCGAAATGTTTCATCAATAAAGATAGATAAGTGTTGCACATGTCTTGCTCGTCAACCTGTATTATATACCATTCATGACATAAGTTTAATGCTAAATTCAATAAAACAGGCAGTGAGAGTAAAACAAAAACTCATAAATATATCTCTATTTGAGAAAAGATTTTTCAATTTTTTGTTTAATATGTATATACCTGAACCGTAGTAATGAAACATGAGTCACTTTAGGAGAATAATGTTTCTTGGTATGAGTTTGAAGCATGTTATTATCATAATAAAAAATAAGCGCTGAACCTACAAGGGTCATACAGCGCCAGTTTGAAGCATAACATGAGAGTTCTACACTTAATCGCACTAAGGTATAACCTGGTTTAGAGTATCTTAATTTTTTTGACCTAGCAGAGCATATTGTTGTAGTCTGCTATATATAAGAATTTGCCTAATACCATGATCATGCTATGAAAAGAATTATCAATGAACTAATGTTTATGTTCATATATATATAAGGATTCTTTCTTTACCTCTGCATCATTAGATTCATTTATCTTGCAAAAGAGTTAATGGATGTCACAAACTAAGATAATCTGTTTTTGCAAAGCCCACATGGGATGAGTGGGAATTAAGAAGCTTCCATGAGATGAGCAGATTACATTTTCTTATAATGAGTATAGAAGTAAAATTCCCAGGCACCCTACACATTGACCAACCTTAAATATTCAGTCACCGGATTTTCAGATTGACTTAAGACAGCCTTGTGATTGTAACTTTAAATTTTTAGAAGTCCAAATCGAGTGGGGGTTACCCAGGATATGGAAGCTACCCAGGACATGGAGGCTACCCAGGACATGGAGGCTACCCAGGACATGGAGGCTCTGGAGGGATTCTTAACAAAGCCTTGGGAATTGGGGGTGCCCTGGGAGGAGCATCTATGTTGGCAAAATCGGTGGGTAAAGTTTTCACAAATTTTAAATATTATTTTGGATTTCATTATATTGTTGATGTACTTGGATTAAGGACTTGCCAATCTAGATCACTTTCAAAAAATGCCCTCTAAGTATGATAATTTCAATGAAAGAATTTTTAAATATTAGCTTAGTTTTGTTAATTTTGGTGGAGATACTGGCAATGTACTGACAGATGGTGAAAAAGCACAAGGGCACAGGAGTTCATTATTTCTACGGGTTTATGAAGTAGAGAGATTTAAGAAAGTCCAGTGATGGGTAAACGAACCAAAGACTTCTGCATCTCACTTTTGTTTCGTCATTTATACATGCTGTAATTTTAACAAGTTAGTTGGTGTTATGAAAGATATTAAAACAGTTACATTTAAATTGTTGCTAACAGCCTTTGATTATAAATTTTGTAATTTTTGGCCTTAAATCCTAAGTAATTAATGAATGCAAATCTTATAGAAATATTGAACTTTTGACAAATTTTTACCCCTTTTTTTAAAAAAAAAAAATTTTTAAAAAAATTTTTTGGTGGCCGGGGGTCTAGGGGGGGGCAATGATATCTTCCTTTTTTTCAAATTTAAAAAGGTGAAATAAAAGATTGTTTTTTTTTTTTTGGAAAAGGAAAAAATCAGGGGCGGAATTTTAATGACTTTTTAAAAAACCCTTTTTTATTGGATTTTTTTTTTTTTTAAAATCGGGTATAAATTTTTTAAGTTTTAAAAAAATTTTTTTAAATTGTTTCAGTTTTTTTTTAAAAACCTTTTCTTTTTTATTAAAAATATTCAGCAAATTTTTATTTTAAGGGGGGAACTTTTCAAAAAAAAATTTTTTCCAAAATTTGTTTTCTTTTATAGATTTTATTCTCCCAAAAAACCTTTTAAAAAACCCAAATTTTTCCATGTGCCTAAAAATAAAAAAATCTTAAAAAACTATTCTCTCTAATTTAATTTTGAAATTTTTTTAAATTAAAACCTTTTTGCTGAAAGGCAAGAAAATTAATTTATAAAATTTTTTAAAAGGGAAACTTTTTAAAAAAGAGATAAAATAAAAAAATTAAGGTTTTCCCCTTTTCCCAAACACCCTTTTTTTACAATTTTTAAATGTTTTAAAAAAAGGTTGTTGTTTTTACTTATTTTTTTTTTAAATTGAAACTTTTTAAAAAGAAGGGAAATTTAAAAAATTTTATAAAAATTTCTTTTAGAAAACCTTTCCCTTTATGAATATAAAGTAAATGGAAATTTTTGAAGGATGGGAAAGGAGTCTTTGTTTTTAATTTTTTTTTTTTAAAGAAAACCAAAAACTCTCCCCTTGCCCCAAATGTTTTTTTTTAAATTTTTGGAGTTGAATATTTTTTTTCATTTCAATTGTAAAATTGCCCGTTTTGGTTCCCTTATTGTAAGTAATTTTAAAATTTTGTTGGTTTGTTTGTATTTTAGAAACTTGATTTTTTTTTTACAGTTTTTTTAAATGGGCCATTTTTTTAAAGAGTCTTTTTTAATTTTTAAAATTTTTTAAAATTTTTTTAAAATTTAAAGGAAAAAAAAGAAATTTTTGGGTTGGGAAGTATAAAAATCTATAATTTTGGTTATTTATTAGCAAGAAAGTTACTTTTAATGAGTTAAAATTGGTGGGGGAAAAAAAAAAAAAAAGGGGATTTCCAAAAATTTTTTTTTTCCTAAACTTTTACTATATTCCCTTTTTCCCCTTGTTTAAAAACCCACCCAGAAACCCCTTATTAAAAATTTTCCCTAAAAGGTTTTAGTGATTTTTTTAAGATTTAAAATTAAAAAAATTGTCTTTGGATTTTGCTTTAAACCCTTTAAAGGGTTAATTTTCACAACAAAAAATAAATATTAATTTTTATTTAAAAATTTAATAAAAAAAATTTTTTATTTATGAATTTTAGAAAATTTTTTAAAATTTTTTTAATAAAATTAAAAAAAAATTCCCCGTTTAGTGTAAAAAAAGGGTTTTTTTGGGGGGAAATGGTTTTAAATCCAGTTTTTCAAAAAGGGGGGTTCCCAATTTTGGCCCTTAAAAATTCCCCTGGAGGATAATATGAAGAGAAATCGGTTTTACAAGTTTAAGGATAGGGGCCCGTTGGGGAAGGGTTTTAAAAATTTGGGCAGGGGGCCCCCCCTTTGTTTTTGCCCCCCCCCCAAAAAACCCCCCAAAAGGGTTGAAGTTTTTTCCCTTTTTTTAAAACCCTAAGTTTTTAAATTAAATAAATTTTTTTGAAAATTTGGGGAAAGGTTTTTAGAGAAACTTGAACAAGAACGCTGGGTTTAAAAAAAAAATTTTTAGGAAAAAAAAGTGATTGGCATTTTCCCCAGGGCTTTGAGCTTTAAAAAAAGGGGGGGGACCGGGTTTTGGGGTCGGGTGGTGAAAAAAGAATAAATTTTTTGATTACTTTCCCCTTGTGATATTATTGGGGGGGGGGGTTTTTTTGGGGAAAATTTCCCCCTAATTTTCAAATTTTCCCAAAAAAAACCTCCCTTTAAATTGATAATAAAGAATATTATATTTTTGAATTTTCTTTTTCCGGGGGCCCGTATTGTTTTAAAATTTGAAAATTAGATAAAAGACAAAAAATAAATTTTTTAAAATTGGTGTTTTAAAACATTTATTGGTAAAAAAATTTCAATCAGTGGATATTTTTTTTTTTTAAAAATTTACCCAAAAAAATTTTTTTATTTTTGTTTTATGTGTTAGGGAAAAAAAATTTTTTGGCCAGGGGGGCCTTGAAAAATTTTTTCCAAGGGGGCTTTTAAAGTGCTGATACTGAGCGAATTTTTTTCCGTGAGGAATAAAAATTAGATTAGTCCTTTCGCCCCAAAAATACACTTATTATTTTTTGAGTTGGGAGCTGTTCAAAACTCGAGGTACCACTGTTTTTGAAAACAATGATGTCCGAAGAATCCCCATTTTTCCCCAAAATACGTATCATGTATGTGAATTATATGATCACAAAAAAAAAATGTGTATGCAAAATCTTACTTTTTGTTTAATGGAGTGGGGTTGTGTTTTGGAATATGGAATAAAAATGATAAATTATTTCCTTAGGTACAGTACATTAATTACTTGTAGGCCAACAATGTTATTTTTTTTCAAAGGAGAAAACAGGGTTACCTTAAAAATTTTAAAACAAACTTTAACCCAAGGTTAATACTAGGCTAGAAAAAAAAAAAAGCATAAAATTTGGGGTAGTAATAAAAATCTTTGTGAAGAGGGACATGTTTTTGATAATTAATAATGAAAATTTTTATTAAAACCTTAGTAGGCCCCTTTACACTTACGGTTTTTAATGTACAGTATTTTTAAGGAAGTGCTAAACCAATTCATAAATTATTTTTTAATTTGCCCTTTAAAGTGATTTTCCTTTTATTAAATTTCTCAAATAAATTAGCATGTATGCATTGTTTTTAATTAAATTTCTTAAAGGTTGACCAGTTTAAAATAACATGCCCCCAAAAAATTATTATATGCCCCCCCCCCCCCCTGAAGATGGTCTTTAAACCACTTTGGTGATTAAAAATTCCTTTAAGACAAGTGGAAACTTGCATGTCTATGACAGCCAAAAAAATCTTTAAAAAGAAGTTTAAATAAAAGAAATTTTGGGAGGGTTCTTGTCCTGAATGTAAAAATGTTTTTAAAAGATGCGTTTAAAGGGAAAAGCAGACATTTATTTTAGGAAAAAAATCTCTAAATGCAAAGGGTTTTAAAAAAAATTATGTATAACTATGATGAATTTTTTTTGGGGTTACCCTGCCTTGGTGGGAAAGGCCAAATGTTTAAAAAAAAAATATAATTTAGGTAAGAAAAAAAAATAAGGTGTGAGTTGAGTAACCTAAGGTCTAGATAAGAATTTACAGTTACTTGATGCTATTTTAAAAACCTTATATACTATTTACCAATTCATTTCGGTTTTTTTTCCTATGAATAGTAAAAACGGAATTCAAAATACTGGGACTGAATTTTAAAAGGACCATGCCAAGAAATTTTTCTTTCCTTTGGGTATACAAGAAGTTTAGAAAGTATTTAAGGCACGTTTTAGATTAGTATTTTTGCATTGAAACATTTTAAAAAAAAGTAAAAAAAGTTGTTTATAGGTTTTGCTTCCAAAAACAGTTTATCTCCTCTTTCTTGGGTTAAAACCCGAAGCCTCCATTTCCCCCAAAAATATGAACCCCTATAGGTTTTGCATTTTCCCCGTAACGTGTATTTATTTTACACCTTAAGCTTTAGTAAGCAACTTTTAAAACTACTTTTTTTATTCAGGGTGTTGTAGACATGCCATTTGTTTTAATGCTTGTAACTTTTTGTCAGGTTTTAAAAATATACATCGCTCTATAAAAAAAACCACTATACAAGAAGCTTATAAAAATTTAAATTTCATCTTTTTCGGATCACCCCGCCTTGGTGGGAAACGGCCCGTGTGATAAAATAAAAATTCATCCCAAAATTTAATTAGGTGACTTGAAGGCCTTTTATGCATGTACAATTTTCGTACATTTAAAAATCTCCTTTATGTTCATTTTATTAAAATTGACTAAAAAAATTTTTTTTATATGGCTTAAAATCAAACTTTTATGCCCGTTAATCTAGTAAAATTTAAAAAAATATAGCTACAGATTTTTTTTTGCCCAAAAGCTGAAAAAAAAAAATTATATGCTTTAGTGATTTAAAAATTTTTGACCTTTTTGCTAAAATTTCCATGGCTCTAATTCTTAGTGGCAAGTTTTAGTGCTGCACACCAAAAGGTAAGTTTTCATTGCAGGGGCAGATTTTGTTTTATCACTTATTTAAATAAATTTTCTCACCACTAAGGATTGTAAATATTAATGAATCTTGGTATCAATGGCTTTGTCAATTAACACAATATGGTGGGTGGCCCCCCGGCAAAAAATGTAAGGTAACTATCGAGCTCAGCATGCCCAGCCATAGAATTTTTTTAATCTATGTTTAAAGGCAGCAGTATAGTTTTTGCCCAAGTCCAAGGAAGGCTGTGGTACTCTAGAATTTCCTCACTTAGACATTTTTTAACCTTCTTACAAAACAAAGATTTGTTAACACAGTATATCAAGTTAATGCAAAATTAATCTAACACTAAAAATTTTATGAATCTTTAAATTTAAAAGTGTTGATTATTGATGCTAGTGACTAATTGGTCATGACTTTCCTTGTTTGAGTGCATTTTATCAAACAAAAAGAACTATGCAATTTATATTACGTTGTTTTTAACAATAAAAATTTGATTTGTTTCAAATGTATTTTTTTTTAAATAAAAAAATTTGTAAATTCCCATTTTTTTTTTATACCTAAAAAAAAATTTTTAGGAAAGGAACCCCGCTTGTATAAAAAGGGGGTTGTTACCCCTCTCCTCCCCAGCACCCCGTTTAGGAGTATTTTA